GTCACCCTTGTCTATCGCCGGTTTGGGCTGAAATAACACCCGGTGAATCCAAGCCGAACCCAAGCCCTTGGGGGCCGCCTGGTGGCGTCGGCCGAAGCAAAAAGGCGTGCGGGGCCGCTCCGTCGGCGAGAGACGACACTTTTTCCCGCCGATCCCCTGCTTTTCCCCTCCATTTCCCTTCACCCCCCTTCTGTCCCTTTTCTCCCGCCATTCTCCTCCTCCCCGCCATCCGGTCGCCATGCCGCCGAAGAAGTATACGGCCCCTCGTGCCGCTGCCGTTGCCGATGCCACCCAACCGAAGCAGAAGAAGCCGAGGGCGTCGCCGGCAAAACCACCGGGCATGTCGAACGCCGACTGGAAGGCGGAGGTTCAGCGCCGGGAGGTTGTCATCACCGACTGGCGAAACAGGCTCAACGCTAAGAGGGATCGGGACAGGCGGCGGAGCAGGCAGAGGCGTCCCGTGCGGGGATGGTGAATCCACCCAGCGGCCATGACCCGCAAGCTTCCTGAAGCCAGCAGAGCGACGGGTCGCCGCCAGCTTCTTGTCGTCGTCGTAGCCCTGGGGGTGCGCACCCTCGCCTGGCTACGCCGACGGCGACGTGCACGACGAATTCAACCCCAACACCACCTTTCTCCATGGCCAGTGCGCCTCACCCTCCGGTCTGAACCCCGACCAGCGCACGCCCTCGCCCGCGTTCACCGGCGTCCAATACCCCCCGTACACCTACTCGCCGCCGACTTACGCCGCTTCCCCGACGCCGCCTCTGCGCCATGGCACCCTGCACTTCTCGCAAGCCTCATCGTCGCATTTCGGCAACCCCGACGCGACGGAAGCCGACATGGACGGGATCATCACAAGCGGCTCAGCCGCCGCCGCCGCCTCCCCCGGGTTCCAGTCGCAAGACGATACAATGGACCTCGCCGGCGACATGGACGACGAGCTCGACTACGGCGAGGAGGAGAAGGAGGAGGAAGAGGAGGAGGAGGAGCCGGCGCCTGCACCGGCGAGGAAAGGGAAAAAGAAGAAGCGGGGGGCCAGGACCGGCGAGCCGCGCGTCAAGTGGGCGTCCAAAGAAGATGAGTGCCTCGCCAAAGCATGGAAGAACGTCGGCCTCAACCCGATCACTGGCACGAACAAGAACGCCGACACGTACTGGGAGCGCATCAAGTCGGAGTTCGACGAGCGCAAGTTGGTCGACCCCTACTTCGCCACCATCCACATGAAGCGTGGCTCGAAGGCTATGTCGAACCATTGGGCGATCATCCAAATGGTCTGCAACAAAATGGCATGGGATCGTCGAGGAGATCGCGGCTCGCCCGGAAAGCAACGCCAACATCGAGGGTCAGGTATGCACAGACGCTGGCTCTCGCTTCTTTTCGCCGTGTGCATCGCCGACACTTGTTCTTCGGCGCAGATGGTTCAGATGTTCGCAATGTACCACGAGGACAGCAGCACCAACCAAGAGTTCAAATACCTCCACGTGTTCTCCGGGATCGAGAAGTGCGAGAAGTGGGGGGATGTCCGGCACACCCTCGCCAAGGCCAAGGAGACGTACAAGCCGGACGCGCCCACGCCGGGGGCGGCGGATGGGCGCCTTGACGGCAACAAATGAGCCAAGATGGTGAAGGACGCCGCACCGGCTACCGAGTGCCTGCACGCGTCCATCGAGCAGTGCATCACCGATGCCAAGAACCACGCCGCCCAGAGGGAAGAGAAATCCGAGGCGCGGTGGTCAGCGTTGATGACGAACAATGCCGTCAAGCTCGACCTACTCCGGACCAACGTCGTCGCGAAGAAGAGGAACACCAACCTGGCATTCCTGATGGGGAGCGACATGTCAACGATGGACGAGCAGGTCAAGGCGTGGTACCTGGCGGAGCGCGGCCTCATCTTGAACCAGATGTCGTCGACGGCCGCGCCAACTCCCACACCGACCCCAACGCCACCGCCAAGCCTGAGTGATGATGCCTCCACGATGCCCAGCACAGAAGCCACGCCGACGCGGACCAGCCCGAGCACGCCGACTCTCGCTAGTCCGACGCCGGCGGAGGAGCACGCCGCCGTTTGATGCATTGCCTGCCTATGTGTCCTTCCTTTTGAACGCCGAACTTTCGAGTATGATTGATTGTCGAAATGTGGCATGGTGATCACCGAACTGTGTGGCAGCCGTTGATCGCCGAACTTGTGGCGTTTTTTGGGTAGCAGGAAAGGTCAAGTTTGAATTTATACGCGTCTTGGGGCCGAAACCTGGGGGCGTGTCTGGGTACTAAATCGCCCCCAGGGTCAAAAAAGCGCCGGCCGAAGGGCCAAACCACCATCGCCAGATGCGCCTGGGGGCCAAACGAGTGGAGATGCTCTTAGCGTGCGTCATCTGCTACCTTGGCTTTGATGCGCGTTCATTGTAACTGCTCGGCGGTAGTCGCCCACCTCCACATGAAGGTGTCACCGTCCATGTCGCACAACCGCGATGTCCGCCCTTGTAGCCGTGTCACCAGTCGGGTTTGCTAGTGGCGGCACACGGTCCTCCCTGTCGACCAGGGGCACCCATCCTCCCCGCCATCAACGAAGCTGTGCCCGCACCTACACTACTACCTCAAGGTGCCGATGCCACATTGTGCAAGTGTAAAACCTGAAGGAAATATGCCCTAGAGGCAATAACAAAGTTGTTATTTATATTTCCTTATATCATGATAAATGTTTATTATTCATGCTAGAATTGTATTAACCGGAAACTTAGTACATGTGTGAATACATAGACAAACAGAATGTCACTAGTATGCCTCTACTTGACTAGCTCGTTGAATCAATGATGGTTATGTTTCCTAACCATAGACATGAGTTGTCATTTGATTAACGGGATCACATCATTAGAGAATGATGTGATTGACTTGACCCATCCATTAGCTTAGCACGATGATCATTTAGTTTGTTGCTATTGCTTTCTCCATAACTTATACATGTTCCTATGACTATGAGATCATGCAACTCCCGAATACCGGAGGAACACTTTGTGTGCTACCAAACGTCACAACGTAACTGAGTGATTATAAAGGTGCTCTACAGGTGTCTCCGATAGTGTTTGTTGAGTTAGCATAGATCGAGATTAGGATTTGTCACTCTGATTGTCGGAGAGGTATCTCTGGGCCCTCTCGGTAATGCACATCAATATAAGCCTTGCAAGCAATGTGACTAATGAGTTAGTTGCGGTATGATGCATTATGGAATGAGTAAAGAGACTTGCCGGTAACGAGATTGAACTAGGTATTGAGATACCGACGATCGAATCTCGGGCAAGTAACATACCCATGACAAAGGGAACAACGTATATCGTTATGCGGTTTGACCGATAAAGATCTTCGTAGAATATGTGGGAGCCAATATGAACATCCAGGTTCCGCTATTGGTTATTGACCAGAGACGTGTCTCGGTCATGTCTACATAGTTCTCAAACCCGTAGGGTCCGCACGCTTAACGTTCGGTGATGATCGATATTATTAGTTTATATGTTTGGATGTACCGAAGGTTGTCTAGAGTCCCGGATATGATCACGGACATGATGAGGAGTCTCGAAATAGCCGAGACATAAAGATCGATATATTGGATGACTATGTTTGGACATCGGAATGGTTCCGGGTAAGTTCGGGCATTAACCAGAGTATCGGGGGTTACCGGAACCCTCCCCGGGGAGTATATGGGCCCTAATGGGCTTTAGGAGAGAGAGAGAGGGGCTGCCTAGGGCAGGCCGCGCCCCCCCAAGGCCTAGTCTGAATTGGACTAGGGGGAGGGGCGGCTGTCGGTGTCAAAACCGGCGGGTCTCGGGTAGGGGGTCCCGAACTGTGCGTCTAGGATCGATGGTAACAGGAGACGGGGGACACAATGTTTACCCAGGTTCGGGCCCTCT